CTCACATGCACCAAGTGTTAAATTAATTGGAGAGATGCTTTGTCGACAATCTCTATTACTCTAAGTACTAGGAGAAATAAATGATCAGCTCCAAGTGACAGAGCACAGGCAGACAAGTGCTATCATTAAGTGGAAAAACAGTAGCATAGGTAAGCCCAAACTGCCAAAAATCTCAAAAATACTGTGGTAGAGTTACTTTTCACAATTACAGTGCCCTAAGTAACTTGTCTTGCCTTGGTCAAATGAAACAAAAAGGCTATGTTTTTGTTTTTTTTTTTTTAATTTCAAATACACTGAAACCTGCTGACACAATAACATTATCAAGCAGAATTAATTCACCTGAGAAAAATATCCGAATAACCACCACAGTACAGGTGGCTAAAGACAGCTGAATTATTCAAGCTTGAATTATCTAAATTTTGGTCTCGTTATCAGAACAAAGAAAGTGGCTGTGTTGATGAGCATTAATTATGCATACCTCTACCTGGGAGACTGGCTTGATGGAAGCCTCGCTGCAAAACTGATTCAATCCTGCTAACAAAACAAGAACCGAGACATGGGTGCCCCGATACAGACCACTCATCTCCCCAGCACATCCTACCTAAGGCCAAGAGAACTTTTTTTAGCGGGTAACGGAGGAGGGAATCCCAACGTGTAAGTGACGAGGAAGGCCCCATGCAGAGTCCCGCTGGACCACCTGCGGTCACCGCCGTGCCCTGTGTGTGCTCACGGGGGGTGTGGGCAGCCCCCGGGCCGCGGGAGGGCCCGTCCTGGCCGCGCTCGCTCGGGCTGCAGGCGCAGCCCTTCGACGGCCATTTCGCCCCCACCGCCCCGGCTCGGGCCGCCCTCTCCAAACCGAACTCACAGCTCCGCAGTCCCCAATCCGGCGCGGGACACGCCTCTCTCGTGAGGCAGAGAAGGCAGCACTCCCAGCTAAGCAGAACGAGCGGTATTCGCTCCCGTCCCTCAGCGCAGGGTAAGGGGCGAGAAGGCGCGGGCCGCGGTCAGACCGGGCCCGGCGCCAGCGCGGCCGGCGGGCTCACCTTGAAATAGATCTCGTCCACCACTTCGTGGTAGGTCTTGAGCTCGTAGAGCTGCACCTTGAAGTAGGGCGACGAGAGGATGTTGGTGAGGATCATGGGGTTCAGGTTCATGGTCTTCTCGTTGCCCCACAGCGGCAGCACGTTGCCCGGCTTGCCCGAGGCCGCCGGCTTGGGGCCCCCGCCCTGCAGCGGCTGCTGCGCGGGCGGGACGGCGCCGGGCGGGTGCTGTGCCGCCTGCTGCCCCTGGCAATTGGCGACCGCGGGGCTGTTGTTGGCCATGGCGGGGCGGGCTGGGCCGGGCGGGCCGCGCACACGGAGCGGGGCCGGCGGGCGCTGCCTCAGACCCGACAAGATGGCGGCCGGGGAAGTGACGGCGGCGCCTTCCGGGGCCGCGTCACCGGCCCGCGGGGAAGGGGCGGCGGCGCTGCCGGGCCTCGGCGCGGCCCGCGGCTCCTCCCGCCCCTGCCCGGGGCTCCTCCCGCCCGCAGCTCCTCCCGCCTCGCTGCCCGCGCCTCCTCCCGCCGCGCTTCCCGCCCGCGGATCTTCCCGCCCTCGCCGCGGCGCGCCTCGCCTCGGCCGCCGCCTCATGGCCCGGCTACCCCCGCCGGGGAAAGCGAGGGGACCTGTGGGCCGCCGGGGACGGCAGCTGGCCCCGGCACGCGGGGTTTAGTAGATCGAGCCAGGCACGGAGCGAGGTTGGAAACTGGTCCCTTGTCGTTGGTAACGAGGCCAGGGCGCAGCAGGAGCGGGAGAGGAGCGCCGGCCGCTTCTGCCCCCACGGCAGCGGAGAAGCAAAGAAATCACGGAATCGTAGAAAGGTTTGGGTTTGGGTTGGAAAGGACTTCGAGGATCATCTCGTTCCAGCCTCCCTGCCCTGCGCGGGGACACCTTCCTGTAGAACAGGTTGCTCGAAGCGCTGTCCATCCTGGCCTTGAACACGTCCAGGGGCATCCACAGCTTCCCTACTTGGGAAGGGAAGAAATAGTGTCAGGGATCTTGGGAGTGCAGGAGCCCCCGTGTGCGATGGTGGCAAGTGCTGGTGACAAGGCCCCTCCAGCTAAAAACCGTGTCAGACACCAAGAAAACACCAACTACACCCTGCTGCTCAGTTCCAGCACTACAGATCTTCCTGAAATCAGTAATACTACATACAACCTCGGAACAAGCAGAATTAGGTTAACACAGTTGAAAACATCTGGATTTAAAAAAATAACTGCGTGTAAATACAGACAGGAAACAGAAAAGAAAATCCTCCAATTTTGCCTGCAAAAGCAAAAAAAAGCCCAGTACAACTAGTTATGTACTTTGGTGTTAAGCTTTAAACTTGAAGTATAAAAGACAATGCACAATTTAGAAGAATTGCTAGAATACTCTAAACATCAAATGACTATGCACAAACATAACTGAAAGTCCACTGAAATGACAGCAAACTGGCCATAATGTGGCAAAGTATGTTCAGTTGTACACACACAGAAGGGCTTCCCCATTGCTCAGCATGTCAGGAAACAGGTACAGGGAGAAGCTGCTATGAAAGCATCCATGGAAGTAGCATCTCTACATATGTGCTATTTAAAACTAATTTAGAATTTTAATTTAGAAACCAGGAGATAAATACTACTGGAAGTAACATCAAAATACCTTCAGTCTTCACTACACATTGAAACCCTGAGAAACAGTAGTTTATCTTCATTACCCTGGCCCTTCGATGTACCTTAGAGCTTGTGGTATAGCAGAAAAATGTTCTTATCAGGGCCCTGGCAGTTAACAGTTTCTCTAAGCTGTCTGTTCTGCTATCTAGGCTCTTCACTCCCTTTTTCTAGGAATAACCACCAGTCTTCTTTTGGCCTTCTCTTCCCATCTCGGCTGATTTCCAAACATTTTCACGAAATCTTCATTACTTACTTACAGGGCTCTACCATATTGATGCAGTAAATATTCCTATAACAATCCCATATGAAATCAAAGAATCACAAAAACTAATTCTAAGAAAAGTGTCTTTACAGCAGTGATCTTGTTCTGGAGGCAGTTAGCTAGAGTAGTAACTTTTCTTTGGACCTGAGTGGTTTTATCGTTGTTTAGGGCATCCTCGACTCTGAGCACTTCCTTAATTTATACTGTATAATCACTTCAAGACAGCCTGTGTTTCTGTTATGATTTATATTACCCAAACTGTGTTTTCATACATTTAGCTTTTTCTGTTGAAATATTTAGTCAATAGGTTCCAAGCCTCAGTACTTTTTATTCTGTATGAGATAACATTTTTGTACTTCTTGTACATTCCCTCTTTGGTGGTGACGCTGAAACCTCTGATATAGTTGCAACCTGTGAATCCGTTTGCTCCAAATTAGATTTTCTTCCCTCAGGCATCCCACCTGGTCTTTATACTGAATACAGCCAAAACGAAAAGAAAAAGAAAAACAAACCAAACCCCAAGAACCCCCAAATGACGTGATTTTCAGTTGCAAACTACAAGACACTATACATAATTATAAAAGAGTTAGAGGATGGTGATTCGGGTGTAAGAGCCTAGCCTCACTTCTCATTCACACAAATTAATTCTGATTTTTTTTCAAATGGGCCAGATCTGGAAACTGAGGAGAAAAATACTTGTACTTAAGTCACTAAACATCCTCTGAATTTGGGTTGAGAGGAGCGGTTGTTGGCTCTTGAATTATAGATTAAACAGCATCGCTCTATGTATATTCCTATCAGCGGACTAGTGTCTCCTGGCAGCAGTGCTACATTAGATTTCTTTTGCTATCACACTTAATTATATGCACTGCAACTTGAAAGGGAAAGTACTGGAACTGAACACAGTTGTCTTTTTCATCCCAGTTACTGAAGGAAATAAGTGTCAGCAGTTTAAAATTTCGTGATTCGTGACTTTATACTCTGAGATGCTTTTATTCCTGTGTAGTCATATCATTTGTTGCTCTCTGTAAGGTACAAAACTAACAGGCTTCTGTAAAAATAACCTGCTTAATTTGTGGGCATATTGAACTAAATGCAACTTGAATATTCAGTTTGAAACAGTTTCTGTGCGTGGCCAAATTGGGATATACAGGCCTGTAAATATTAATGGGGAGAAATCCCACAGGAAAACTGACCAGATGTTAAATATACTTCACAGTAAATGTTTAGTGTATCTAAAGATCGTTAATATTACAAATTGCCTGTCTGCAATCCAAACCGATAGAAATAGCAACTCCCAGGCTGCCATACTTGCACGTACTTTTCGGTGATTTCACTGGTGTTGGTGATCTCTGCCTCAGTCACCCAGGCAAGGCTCGGTCACCGCCTGTCGCGACCAGCGCGATAGCGGCTTTGCCCTGCGGGGCGTAGCAAACACGTCAGCGAACACAGCAGCACCTCGAGGGAGCCGCACGAGGAGTAGTGAGATTTTTGGGAGTTTAGCGTAAAAATCAGGGACACCCCCCCCACCCACCCCCGCGCCACATTTTGATTACACGGAGGGAGGCTGCTCGGGTGGGGTCGGTACAGCTGTACCCCTGGACGCTCACGATGTATCGTGTCGCACTGAAGAGCATTGGGGAACACCTCCTGCACTAAGGGGTGGAAATAAAGAATTCCCGGCTGGCGCTCTCGGAGTTCCCCGGAGCGTGGGCGGCCGCTTGTGCCAGGCGGGAGGTCAGCGCTGGCAGGGAAGGGAAGGGAAGGTGGGGGACAGGCCGGGAGGTGGCTGTCGGGGCCCGGCAGGGCGGGACCGGGGCTGGGGGCGGCCCGGAGCGGAGCCTGAGGACGGCTGGGGGTCCAGGAGCCGGGGTAGGGATGTGTGTGTGTGATGGGGGTGGGGGCGTCAGAACTGGGATTAGGCCAACCCCTGCTTATTTGTAACTCGAACACCGCTGAAAACAGCAAACTCTGTCATTTGGTACCTTACCACGTGCTTCAGAAAATAAGGATTAACTTTGTTTATTTTAGCATCGCCAAAATATTATGGAGGAGAACTTTAAAGAAAAAGAGTTCGAAGGAGTTATTAAATTTACACCTCCTCTGTACAAACAGCGCTACCAGTTCGTCAAAGATTTGGTGGAGAAATACAAACCTAAGAAGGTTGGTTATGTTTTGTCTCTTTAGGTTATAAATTTGAAAAGTTGACACTTGGTATCTCAGGAAGACAAAATGCACAGATAACCTTTTGATCCAATTACCAAACAATTTTATAGGAGCTGCTGTTAAAACTGAATTAGTCATAGCGTGTTGTTTTTCAGGGGTGCATATAATTAATGTTACTCGATGGGAGGAGGAGAATATTTAAATGGGAGAAATGCCTTAACCTGTTTTGGAGAGTAGTGGGAATTCTGGTTTTAATTTTAAGCTGAGTGATTTGGTTCAAGCTGCTTTCATCATAGTTGAGTTTTGCTTTCTAGAGTTGTTAGTTCCATATGCAGTATCAGGTTTGCCTCATCACTGACATGAACGTTCTCAGATAAGAAGTGACACCAAGAGTGTGGGGTTATGTGGGGCTCACTCATTTCCACTTGCTTAAGATCTTGTGACCCTTTTCTGTGTTGTCCCTCCCAATATAACACAACTCTTGTTTCAATACTGCTTTGAAAAGTTAAATCAATTAAATTATGTACTGTAGTGTTTGCTCTTTTCTAATGTGTCCTCTCCCCTTCTTCCCCCAGAAGCACTTCCCAAATCTGCAGTGTTTAACTCTGAAACTGATGCTGATATCTTAGGGGGCATGCAAGAAATTGATGAGAAATGCATCTGCAGTGCACTTAATTAATCATAATTCTGGTAGCTAATAAAACTCTAGTCCAGTCTGTGAGGTCATGGCACTGCAATCTGTTTTTAAATGGAACATATTCACCAGTGTTGCATCTGTATTTAAAGGTTTGAATTTTCTGATTTAGGATGTGGAAGGGGTGAGAAGGTAAACTTTACTCATGGGGTAGAGATAAGCTGTATAGAAACAATTCAGGATTCTCACAGGGAGAACAGCTTCAACCTTGACTGAGCCTGAGAAAGAACAGGGTGGGTTGGTTTGTGTACCCAACTATCTCTTAAGCTTACAGAAAAGATTATCTGTTATTTGATTTTGTGGTCTGAAGATCCCCAGACTTCCCCACCTAAACATTAGACTGAGCCTGTAAACTTGTTTTATGCAGATTCTTTGCTGCTAACTTGGCTGCTGGTGAGCCTGTTCTCAGAGCAGTCCAGTGAAGAGCAGTGAATGTGACAATTGCTACAGCTTTGATACTTAAAATCATACCTTACTGTTATTCATGTGGAAAACATTTTCCAGTGTCAGTGGGATGTTCTATGTGTACTTGTTTATAGGTGTAATAATAATAAAAGGCTAATTATTTTTAAAAATCCTGCAGGATGTTCATATACATTTTTTTAAAAGAATGTTGAAATCCGTGTCTATCCTGCTTGCTTACAGTGGTAAATTAAGTTTTGGTTGTGAAATGCTTTATCATAAAAAAGTTATTTTGATATAAATACTGGAATTCTAATTTTTTTTAAGTCTCTGAAATTACTTGGAAATATATAGCATTTACACATTGTTTAATATCTAATTTACAGGTGGCAGATTTAGGATGTGCTGACTGCAGGCTTCTCTGGATGCTGAAATTCTGCAGTTGCATTGAAGTGTTAGCTGGGCTAGATATCTCTGCAAGTGTAATGAAAGCGAAAATGTAAGCTCTTTGATTGTGTTTTAAAGTTTGTATTTGTCTTGATGGAGTGGTGTGGTGGGTTGACCATGGCTGGAGGCCAGGTATTCACCAAAGCTGCTCTATCACTCCCCTCCTCAGCTGGACAGGGGAGAGAAAACACAATGAAAGCACTCACCAGTTACCATCAGGGGCAAAACAGACTCGACTTGCTGAGGATCTAGATGCTGATGTTATCACTTGCTCTTTCTCAAGGATGAAGTAACCTTTTATATTTAACATTTATTGTGTATTTTGTCTAATGCAGTATTTCAGAATGAAATTTGCACATATACTTTGGTTTCTCAGTGTATTTCATTTGAAGAAGATAGGTAATATGTGTGCCTAAAACTTTCCCCAAAACCCTGCAAAGCGTGTCTAAATCAGACTTACTGTGTGTCTAGAGTTGAACTACTATCAGAACTTACAAGTGGCTGTCCAAGTGACTGGAGAGTGTACTGGAAATTCTTGTAAACATGAAGGACAGCTTCTGGATTAACTTCTGCTCCTTCTGTCCTGTTGTAGATAGTCACAAAAAAAGTGTTTGTATTGAATATTCTTTTTTATATCCACGTAAAATAGTTAACCTTTTTGAGATTTATGAGGTATCTATGTAGGACGTTTAGTAGTTCATTTACAGGTACAGTTTGTCTTAAGGTTCTTTCTGTAACATCTTATTTTTAAAACTTTTGTAGGCATACGTTATCTCCTCTTCCTTTTGATTATTTGCAACCATCTGAAAGATCCCTGACCGTTACCTTGCATCACGGTTCAGTGGCCCATAAAGATCCTTGCATGCTTGGTTTTGACTTGGTGACATGTATCGAACTGTGAGTATTAGGCCAACGCTCTGCGTTTTTCTCAGTTCATCAGAGTTCAGCTTGGAATGTTGTCCATGCTCCAGACAGACTTGATCAAACCTTTCAAGCAGAAAAGTAGAAAAGTAGCAAATGGAAGAGCTAACCTGTGCTTAAATTAGCCATACTAAGCTATTCACGTGGTGCTTGCACGTGGTGGGAGAAGGATACTGATGAAGAAATGCAAAATGCCAGAGGAGATTTGGGCAGACAAAACCGCTATGTGGCCACTTGGCCACAGTGCCATTGCTGATATTGCAGAGCTGGGTGTAAAATTACAAATTACAGATGTGGGTTTGGGGTTTTTTTTGGCTTGTTGTTAAGATTAAAGTATCATAGGGTGTTTTTAAACACAGACATCAACTTACTCTTTTCAGAATAGAACACCTGGAAGAATCGGAGCTGAAGAAGTTTCCTGAAGTGGTGTTTGGTTTCATGGCTCCAAGCATAGTTGTGATCAGTACTCCAAATTCTGAATTTAACCCTTTGCTTCCAGGAGTGGTGTTACACAGACATCCAGATCACAAATTTGAGTGGAACCAAGAGCAATTTCAAAGCTGGTAAGCTCACTGAACATGTATGCTGGCAGCTCTGGGTGCCCAGGAGTGTGAGAAACAAATGGCATTTTCAGAGCAGTTCACATACGTAGTTTGCTCTCAGTGAAATGTCACCTCCTGACTTGGGGAAATGTTTCTTTGCTGTTAAGAGTAGTTAAGTTTCTGTGGGTTTTTTGTTTTATGATGGTGGTTAAGTTGGCTTGCATTTACTGCAACTGCTCTGCGGAAAACGTTCAAAACTTTTACTTACCTTTTTATATATCTTTATTACAATTAACTCATTCGAAGTGTAACGTATTAATTATCCTTTTTGCATATAGAAATGCCTTATAAAACCCTAAGAAATGTGCTCACTGTGTATGTGCACAGTGCTCAGTTAGTCCAGACCTTTCTGTAGGAGTATGCAAGCAGAGTTATGAAATAACCATAGCAGCAGGGCATGTTGGGTAAAATTAAGGATAGTTTAGTGGATTGTGGCACAATGAAATGAAAAACATATGTACATGACAGAGGGTTACATGAAATCTGTCTTAGTATCAGTAGGTGTAATAAAAATAAAACCAAGAGGGATGTGTGTCCTGTGATAACTGTCAAGCAGTTGTGGAAGAAATTGTATCTTGGAAGTTTTGCCCCTTAAATTGTGTTGTTTCTGCCATAGGCTTGAAAGTATGCAGTGACTTTTGAGTATGTAGTTTTGCAAAGCTTGAAGTATATGTTTTTCTCTGCATAAGGATACTAAAACCTGCCTGCTTTATTAGTAGAGACCATTTCTCTGACTTTAAGTAAATTTAGATTCTGCTTTTAGATATATGTGAATTAAAAATACTGAAATCACTGAAGAAGTGATTTTTTTTTTCATTTTTTGAGCTGCAAACACAAAGTCTTTGTGTTGTGAAGTATAAGTATTACAATGTTCTCTAAAATACATGGGATGTTAATTTAGTTTACTACTTTCTCATGGAGAATGATGCAGGTAGATAGTACCATTTTAGTTCCCTGCCCCATCCTTTTGTTCTCACTGGCTGATGTACTGCAAGATGGTTTTCATTTAGATGTCATGTACCCTGTTGTAACCTTTATTAGGTAGACTTTACTCTTTATACATTTACAACAAACCACACTTTTATTTTCCCTTTTAACTGCTCTCCTGGGGTTTTGGGGTGTGTATGTTTTTTATGAGTTCTTCTCAAATAATTTTGTTCTTGAAAAATCAGTAGGTTTTTGCTCACTTCTGATATATTTAAGTTGGTGACTAAGCAACTGTGAGCATGAACATTCTATGCACATATTTTGGAAAGAATGGTAATGTTTGGATGCCTCAGTTACTGATACTAAGTGATTCAGACTGTGGTAGGCACATGATTACAGCTCTGATACAACAAGTGTTGACAGCCTTGTCTTCAGGCATGTGAGTATTGTCAGGGAAATGGTGCTCAAGCCTTCTCAGGCTCAGGGTCTTGCTTCTCCTTGAGAATGCATCTTTATCACATGAAAAGATGAGTATTTCATACGATTGGAATAATTTTGTCTTTCTTAGGGCTCTAGAGGCTGCTAGATGCTATGATTACTCAGTGGAATTTACTGGTGTAGGGCACCCCCCAAAAGGAATGGAGAATGTTGGGTTTTGTACCCAAATAGGTGTGTTTGTTAGAAAACATCCTCAAACTGGTGGATCTGTTCAGTATGAGAAACCCACTGAAGCAGTTTACGAAACAGTAAGTATTATTTTCTTTGTTTGGAGGTATGAATAAATAGTAAAATTGTCTATGACTGCCCTTGAAAGTGCTGTTGCCATGGACTGCTATTGCCATCCAGTCTTAGCACTGATTGTTACACACCATCAGATGAAGAAAGTCTCATTCTACGTGTTTCTAATTGTATAAAGGCCTTTAACTTCTAGAATATTTGCTAAACAACAATATGGATAATCATTCCTAACATGCTCTTTTTCTTAGAACGAAGTTTCGATTCTGCCAGGTGTACTATTTTTATAGTTTTGCCTCCAGTCATTCATTGCATTTATTATGCAATTGTTGTCAATTACACATATTTTTCAGATTCATAAAAATAAAAAGCAAAAAAAGCATTTCTAGCTAAATGCCTTGTGGTATAAATCAAATTTTTTCAAAGATAACATGAAGTAATAATGCAAAAATAAATATACTGTTTGGGGGGGTTTTCCAATTTTATGAGGCCTTATTTGTTTCAGTGAACATACATATTCAGTTCTTTGTGTAAAAATATATATGTATCTTCAAATGACTTGTGACCTGAACTGAAACACAGAGATATCTTCTGTAGTTTCCAAGCTATAAACACATTTGTAATTTCTGTATTTGAAATCTGTATAAATGTGAAATGTCACCTGTCATCTACTGCCATTCATAAAATCATGAAGCGCTCTGTAATGCTCAGCAAACTTGGAAATATGTCCAGGTGACAGCCATGCACTAGAAATTGCTTTCATTATCTCCTGTTAACAGGACCATTAGGGAGGGAGTTTTGACACTGATATCCTTTGGGTTTAAACAAGAGTGTTAATCTAATGCATTTCTTATCAAACTAATTTTTATTATGTAATTAATTTATGGGAATAAATCAATATTTCAGGATGCAATTGAAAAGTAGGAAGTAATTATAGACAGTGGAACTTCCTTGGTACCCTGTTGGTATAAAGCACTTCCTGGTAAGCTGGTGGGAAGGAGTTTGCCTTGTTTCCTTAATTGCCACAGAGCACAGCTCAGTGCAGAACACACAAGTTCACAGATTTTGATGTCACAATTTATTTTTAGCGTCCCCTGCAGCTGGGAAAGCATATTTAATGTTTTATTCTGAAAACAGAATAATTGACATGCTCTAGCCCTGGTTTCCAGATGACAATTCAGAAGTAGTTTAGAACTGTCACCAGCACCTATCATGAGTAATGTGAAAAGTGAGAGAACTGTTAAAAAAAACCTAAGGAATTACAGGACTTCACCTTGCCCATTCTACAAGTGTAGCTTCCAGGTATAAGCCTGTTTTTTGGGTTGTTTGTTTGTTTGTTTTTAATTCCATTAACAGCCTTTGTATTTGTAATACATAAAATCAGCTCATATTGCCTAGTTTTTGATATCTGAAAATGTTTAATAAGCTAAACAGGATTGAATAAAAAATGATGTTCACATTTTAGAAGGGTTTTTTGACAGCAAATGTTAAACTCTGACCCTGTGATAGTGATAAACATTTTATGTGTTCTTGTATGTTGTAAAGGTCTTCAAAGCAGTGTATCCAAGTCTGAAAGATGAGAAGTACTTACGGAATGCAGTTGTCAGTGAAGTTCTTTTCATAGCCCAAAACATTAAGCACCACTTAATGCCAGAACATGAGGAGTATGATGATGACCCTGAAAGAGAATCTGAATTCCAGCCTTCAGTGGACTGTTTTTCAGACTATCTTGAAAAGCTGGTTGTGGATAAAACCATGGAACCATTTGTCAGTGGAAATGAGGTCTATATACCTCTTGCAACAATCTTTTCTTTTCCCAAAGTGAATCAACTGTGTGGTACCTTGGAGAAGTTATGCAAACTCATTGCTGGCAAGGTCCCCCTGAGCAGTGATGGTTCTGCTGTGGTGTTCAACACCGAACATGAAAACGAGGAGGATTAGATCACAGATTTCTCACACAAAGGTCAGTTAAAGTAATTAAAGTGGTTTTTTAGTAGCTGTCAAATGGTGTGTTCTGTATGCTAACCAGAACCACACAGTCTTTTCTAAACCTCCCCTTGGTGGTCAGCATCTCTCCTATGGAGACAGCAGTAACTCCTAGGGGTTTCAAGTAGACTATCAGGGGTGAAAGAAAATAATTAATTCCTATGAAGAAAATGAAGTATTTCTGTTTGCTTTCTGTTACCTTATTGTAGCTATCGTTGCTAGATTATTTTTAGTAATCTCTTGTTAGCTCCCAGGGTAGCTGATGATAATGTGAATTTTGTTGTGCTGAATAATGTGAGTCAGACGTGGGATTAAGGCACATTTTTTCTTATTGGAATAAAATTTATAGATGCCTTGTTCAAGATGAGCACATCTTCAGCCTTGATGAAAACCAAATGTTGTTCCACTTGAATAGAAATATGAAACTGGTATCTTTGACTGCTCTGCTTTTTAAAGAAAAAAAAAATTAAAAAGTGCTGTACTTGTGAATGCTAATCTGGCCCTGGTGCACCTGAAAATTTTCTGTGTTTTCATGTGCAGCTGTTATTCAAAACTGTAAAATCCAAAGAGAGTAGATGACAAAAAATCTAAGAAGAATCCATACCCCAGTAATGGTTTTGCCTTGGTAATTAGTTGTGTATGCAGCAGTGGTGCGTAAGTGGTGCTTGTTTTCAGTCATGAGATGTTTTCCTTCTAGATTAGAAAAAGATCTGTGTCTAAATGACACATTTTCCTTATAACATATATGTTGCTAAAACAGTGTGAAAACACAGGAGTAGAAAAAGCAAAGCATTTAAAAATAATCATTAACTGGAAGATTTGTTTGCTGATAGGATTTGTCATTTATTCTATAAGGAACCTGTTGACCCATGAAACAAAGAGGAAAGACAACAATCACAAAAGAAATTCTGGGATGTTCTGGAGAAGTTTTGGAAAAAATTGTCTTCCTTTTTGAACTGAAAGACAGCTGAGACTGAAGTTAGTTATACATGGTACTGTTAATTCTCTTAATCCTTACTTTCCAAATAATTGGTTAGTGAACTACTCCGAGTGCCAAATAGTTTGTAGTATAATTAGCTGCAATTTTCACCAATCTAGATTTTTTTCTTAATGTAAGAACAGATACTCAGTGCAGTACCAGAAAGCTTGGTTATTTTGAATGCATAGGTGAGAAATATATACCACAATTATTTTTTTTTTTAATGAGAAGGTAATTTATAAAGTTACAAAAACCATATGAAAAGTTTTTAGTATGATCATTATACTCAACTGAGAAGGATTAATTTTGTCATTTGCAAGGTGGGCAGGGACTACACCCAGTGCCCTCACTTTCCCCAAATATGTGGAATTTGCTTAATAAATTAACATCCCAGTATGCCTCCCACATTAAACTGATTTTTCCTTTGTGTAAGACTGACATATTACTTTTCCTCTCCAGGAGGCAGATAAATAACTGTACTAGTAATGGTGCCATTAAATACTTTGTGGACTGGAGAGGGAGTTTAAGAAGCTGCAGGGGTGAAGTTTGAAAAGAGTAGAGGAACTGAAATGGACACAAACTTCCATTTAAGTTTGGAAATGTTTGCATTTAAAAAAAAAAAAAGAAAGACATAATTGTTTAGGAACAGGTTCCAAGCTGAAGACATGAGTTTATTGAATGTCTGAGAGATTTGCATTTAAATACAGTTAAAAAAAACCCAAACATAACCCACCAACACACCCTGAACAGTATTCTATATAGAAGTCTCCAGTATTTGTATAACAATATACAACACCTAAATATGAAGGTTATATTCCACTTAAAATAGGCACAATTAGAGAATCAGTTCATGAAGAGTTGTAACTCAAGTCAGAAGAATAAATTACTAGGATGCAGTTTTATTTAAAGCTGGATTTCTATATCAGCTTTCCTAAAAGATCTGCTCAGACAAGAAAATAATTGTTTCTAGTAAACAAAATATCTAATCTATGACAATTAGCTGTGTCTTTTAACATAAACCACAAATCTGGACTATGGAAATTCCCTTGAGTATTACTTAAGTAGCTGTACAATGTTTTTTAAAAGTCTGTTTTCCTCAAACTACGTGTAGTTTTCCTAGTAAACTTAAGTGAGCTACCATCTACTTACTAATGGTTTCAATGGACTTGTCAGCAAATGTAGCAAGGGTACTGAAAGCAAATAATGTACTCGAATATACAAAGCAAATAATGTGTTCAAATTTCTTGCATTGTTTGCTTGCAGCAGGATTTGTTTGGTATGAGTTAGTTATGTGACAGGAAAGGGAAACTATAACGTTCTGAGAGATAGTTGTATACCAGCAGTTGAGTAGTTTCTGTTTAAAATTCCTGTGGAGAACAGACATGGATAATACCACACTTCTATTAACAGCAGCTAGAATAGAATCTTTGCATTAATTCTTTTAAAGAGACTATAATTAACAGAAGGAAATAAAAGTATTTAAGTACCAAAACTGAGAAATAGCTCATCTTCTTCATATTCAGTAACAGTACTCAAGCTTTAAAAATCTGAGAATTCCTTAAAAATACAAATAAAAATCTGTTTAATAATTCTGGTATGGATTTCTAGAAAACAGTCTGCTTTTTCTGATTTAACCTACTAAATATGGCCTACTTCTACTTCAGTTAAAAGGTGTCAAACATCACTGAGCAGAACTTGAAGCATTCTGAGCTTTCAAAAGTGGCCACTTTTATTCCTATTTATTCCAAGCCTTACTGATAAACAGTACCACTAAACGTAACAAACTTAAAGCCATTTGCAGTTTACAATTAATTACACGTGTCACCTAACACATCCCTTTAAAAATGGATTCATTCCTATTCTCAATGAAAATTTAAAGAGATCTTTCTTGCCTGTCAGGCAAATCACTACTTGTGCAAATTTAAATACAGTACATTGACTTTAATGCAACAGTGGACAGATGGTGAAGAAAGAAGTGTTCAACAAAGATGTTGCACACTAAAACTTTTCCAGAGTGCAGAGTATGTCTACAATAAAGTGCTTCTCTTAACAAGTTATATTAATAATAGTATAGATGTTTACCTAGTTTTAAAGCTTAAATTCTTAGTAAATTCTTTGATCTCCCCGTACGTCCCCAATCCCGCAAGGCACGTTCAGAACACAAGCAAAGCACTAACTGTGAAGGATTAAGCTACAAGAAAAAAAATTTAAGTGGTAGTAAACTACTGACTAGGTTTGTAAACAGTACCATCCCACTGAATCTTAAGGTTCATGCATTGCTGGAGTGAGTTTCTGTGGAAGCAGCTTCTGTCCTCCAGATGTAACAATCAAGCCAGCTTTCTTGCTAATACTCTACTGAGCCTTAGTGTTTTGATGTGGATTCCCACTTTTTTCATCACTTGAACAGAAAACGTCACATTTGATGCATTTAAACCTGTGGACTTGATTTACAGTTAACACAACTGATTACTGGCTGGTTTAGATGTATTTAGCTTTGGGGTTTCTTTAAATGCATGTGAAGTTCACCTCTGCTGTTCAACCTTTACCATGAAGTTGTGCTCAGTTCTTGTAAGCTTTTGGTTCTGTTAAAACCTAGCTGGGTGTTTCGTGGAGGCCACAACATTGGCTTGATAATGACTGACTTGATAGAAGTAATCTGTACTTCTACAGCTGCTGTAAGACTACAATGGCAGGTAGGATCAAACTGAGTAATTGCTTTCTTCAGGTGCATTTAAGACCAACTTTCAGAAGCCTCATTGGAAAAGAAGTTATGAACAAAGTACATCTGCCACAAGTGATCTCTTGTATAAAATAGTGACATGGGACTCGCTTCATCATGCTTCCACAAATGAAAAAGTAATTCCATTAACATCAGATAGAGCTTACAAAAACAGTCCAAGTGCTCTCACAAGGTACACACAGTTAAACACTGCCTTCATACCACAGAAGATGATGCTCTCTGAGCAAGAGGCATTCCATTCCTTTTCCGAGAAAGATCACATTGAGTTAATTTTGTGTTTCTCAACTCTTGCAACAGAGCAAACAAAACTAGAAGTATCAACACCAGGGCTCGAAGTTTTCCTCGTCTGTCGTTCTGGTTTAGCGTTTTATCACCACCTGCTCATAAGCTCCAGATCCTACTCTGAAAGTTTGAAAGAAATTAGTTCAATGTCAATTTAAATGGAAGCTAAAACAGCAAATGTCACAGAGCAGCAATTTTATTGTTTAATCAACCCAACCAACCAACACCCTGCCAAAAAACCCCCAACAACTCCCCCAGCCAAACAGCTAAATGTGAAGGGTGATTATTACCATATCTCTGAGTCACCTACAGTTTAATGCATTAAAGTGTTTTTTGTTACACCAAAGCCAAAACAGAGAATGAAAAGTAATGTTACTGAAAAAGAAGTTACTGTTGGACTTCTCTCTAATTCCTTAAACATGACCTTTAGGATACCCCTCCCCTGTATTAGCTGTATCATATGCAGCTAATATTTTTAATACAAATTAATACATAAACAAGTAAATTATCTAAAAAACCAGTAAGTGATAGTCATCCTATGTTAGAATACAAGAAAAAACATCTTCCAGTCTTTTGTTCATGCACTGAAAAAAAACCTCGCTCACCCCCTCCACGTGACAGACCATAGTGGATGGTTTTCCATGGCAAATTGCAGTACTGTGTAAAAAATGAATTGGGCAAGCTCTGCCTTGGTTTAGCAGTGTGCCTGGACTGTTCTGGCAAGTAAATTAGGACTGATCTCTCTATACTGCAGTAGTGTGTTCTGAACCCAAACACGTTATCTGAGATAAACACTGGTGTGCTCGGTTTGCAGATAAGCCAATTAATTATCTCTGAACCATCAGGATTGCTTGCATGTATCAGATGCAATTACTTTATTACTTTCAACACATTACTAGCTGCCTTTATACCTAACTTCAGAAATAACTGCTGAAATACTAATGCTGTGCTAATTTTTTGAGATAAAAACGTTGAGTTACATTGGACTGTAGAAACATGATATTAGAGCATATTCTTG